GTATTTTATTAGGTCCCTCAGACCTTTACTGGGCTTGTGGCTAAACTGCCTTTGTCTAGTCCAGGGGTGGGCAACCTTTTTGTGAGTGCGTGCCAAAACCAGCAAAATCTCTGACTCAAAATTCTTCTGCGTGCCAACCCTAATTTTTTGAGAACATGTTACGCCTACTTGATATCTCTTAAGGTGTACGTATGTGAAGAACCTTGAAGAAATAATAAAATTCATTCGAGCGACAAAAACAGTATATGATGATGAAAAATACATTTATTCTTTAATGTATACATGTACACTGATAGTCTGACAGAAAACTTTATGACTCCGTTTGATATTATCAGTGGGACTTTTGCTGCTGCATCACTGATGACAGAGATTTTACATCAGGTTTATATTTCGTGACCTTCAGAAATATGCACGAGCTACTACTTTCATCCATCAGGCTACTCCTATTATGAGACTTAACAAAATTCATCACTGAGAACAAAGATTCACAAGCATATGTGGATGAAACCAAAACACTGGTCGTATCTAGGAAGGCAGGGAGAGTTAAGGCAGAGGCAGAGAAATTGCTTTTCCCCTCTCTCGGTAATCCATGTCTATGGTCTTTAAGATAACTTGTTATGTAAAATTATTTATCTAAGATGCACCTACACTGAATTTATCTGAAAAATAAAAAGGTCGATATTAAGAAAAAAATTGTAAATGGAAGATTATAAGAGAGGGTTTCGCGTGCCAGCAAAAGTTACTGGCGTGCCATGTTTAGCACACGTGCCAGGGATTGCCCACCCCTGGTCTAGTCCCTTCCCTATGGATCAGACTTAGTGTTAAATGTAGCTTTTAACAATGCTGCATAAATGGCATGTCTATATCTAGTCTTCCCTTTTACTCCTTTTTCTGTTAAATGATAACCAGGTTATTACAATGGTATCAGTAAGTCAGTTAAAGATAATAAAGAGAACAAAATGTGGGGTTTGGGAGGTGAGAGAGGGATGAAGAGTATGAGGCAGAAAAACAATCTAAGTGTTCATTAGAAAAGAGAATTTGAGAGACTAAGAGAAGGCTCCCTGCCGTTATCTTTCTATATTTTAAAACAAAAAATAATAAGTTACTATAAAATCTGCATTGAACTCTTTCTATTTCATGTGTATTCAGAGCTGGGTCCTTCAGCCCTGACAGCAGCAAGCAGGTCCCCTGTCTTCCTGGAGGTGAGAACCTTCTGAGACCCCTACTGGGGACACTCATTTTGGCTTAACTTCTCAGATCTGATTTCCCTGATGATGCTTTCAACTATCCAATTACCCTGACCCCATTTCTTCTGCTATTTCAGAGATAATCTTTCCTTTTTCTTATTTCAAGGCAAATAGAAATACCAGTCTTCCAGCAGCCATTAAATGTGAATGCTTCAAGTTGAGGAGGGGAAGGAGGATAGGGGAGAGACAGAAAAGAGCAGGTCTTACACTGTGCTCCCTACTTCCCCCATCACACCCAGGATTCCATCTTGTGTTAGGATCCTTTTTTAAATGTCACTTCCCTATTCTTTATGCTCTACATGTAAATATTCTGTGACTCCTTTAGGTAAGGAAAGAGAGTATTTTATTTACACTTTCATGGACAGGCATGATAATAGTTACCGCTCACATTTATTGAGCATTTACCATGTGTCATGCTCTGTGGTAACACCTGATATCTCCAATTTCATTTCTTTCCTCCTATACCTCTATGAGGGGCTCACTATCATTCTGAACCTTCTAAAGATGATAGAACAAAGGTGCTTAGAGATTAAGTAACACAGTAGATGAAAGAACTGTGACTGGAATTCAGGCATTCTTAGCTACCCCCATATAAAAGAACAGGATGAGATAGAGAAGGGAAAAGATTAAAAAAAAAAGAGGTCAAAAGGGCACATTAACATAAGCCAAGTTCATGGGAGTGATTATTAATTGTGTGGGAAATCTGAAATCTGCCTACAAAAACTCAGCAGTAAGTGTATTGATTTACACACTTAAACAACAGACTCTAATACCTTCACCAACAGTTCTGTTAAAACCATAGGATTTTTAACTTTTTTAAAATCCTCACCAGATACTATTTTTTCCATTTATTTTTTTAGAGAAAGTAGAAGGGAGGGAAGAGGGGGAGAGTGAGAGAGAGAGAAGGAGAGAAACATTATGTGAGAGAGACACATGGATTGGTTGCCTCCTTCACACGCCCAGACCGGACGCAGGGATTGAACCTGCAACCGAGGAACATGCCTTTCACCAGGAACTGAACCCACAAGCCTGCGGTCTTCGGACAGATTCTCTAACCACTGAGCAACCGGCCAGGCAGGAATTTTTAACTTTTAACTCAGATTCTTAATTTGTCCAAAGATAAAAATAATGTCTGCTCCCCTCCCAATCATGTGATTTTATACATAAACATGATATGAAACAAATTGAAAACGGATATATGTTTGACTTTATGAAAGCTCTGAACACATTGTCTTATTTTTTTATTAATTGTTTATCAAATGAATGTCTTGTGGCTTTCATAGCAAGTTTAGAGCAACAGACAAATCTGTAGTAAGGAGGTAACAGTAAAACAGGGCAATGGTCGATATCCTGTTACCTGGAGCCCAGTATTGATAATGGCAGTGATGGAAACCCATTTGAGCTGATAATTGTGTCAGGTCAGTCTGATTGAGGCCTCCAGCAGAACGATAGCTAAGTTACCATTGACTTTGTATTGAACACTCCAGGAGCATTCACCTGACTGTCCTGGAGAATGGGAGGGGCTCAGTACAAGTGTCCACAATGGAGGAAGTGCTGGGGCAAGTGCACTTTATCAATGTTAACTGTTTTATCAAGTCCCTCAGACTTAGCTGACATCACCCTAAACTTCCTAACTGCAAAAGACTAATGCCACAAAATTTTTCATTGAATAATTTCTGTTATAATGTTAATAATGATAATGATTAAAACATTATTTGACCATTAAAATAGGATAGATTGGAAAATGATATTGTAAATAAAAGAAAATATGCACATTTGTAACATAGTATAGTTCTTAATGTGTACTAATAATATTAGTATTTATACTAATAGGAATGATAATTAAACATTAATGAGTAATTACTGTGCACCAGGCTTTGTTTTATATACTTTACACTTATTTAGCCTTGCTTTTATAGATGTAAATACCATCATTATTCTTTTACTACATAAAAGAAAACTAAGAAACAGAAAGATTATATAATCACCTAGAAGTAGATTATTCTTAAATAAATAACTCCTTTAAAAGAGTGCTGAACCAGGAGGTAAGACATATTCTAAATATAACTCTACCTTTACATATTGTATTAATATTTGAGTTTTTATGCTTTGCTCTGCAAACCAGTGAGATACAAAATAAAGCAAATATAAATATATGAAGATCCATGATTCTAAATAAATGTTATTCATTACAAAATAGTAATTTTGAGCAATCTATTCATTGATTCCTATGATGCAGCTATTGCCTAATATATAACTACTCTAAATTGTTTTCATGATAGTGGCATGGTAAAAGGAATCTCCTCCATGGCATCAAATCTTAATCCTTTAAGGAAGAGGTCAGCAAACGCAATTAAGGGCCAGATAGGAGCTGTGTTTGACTTTGCAGGCCATAGAGTTTCTGTGGGACTATTTACCTCTGCCATTATGATGCAAAAAACAGCCACAGAGAAGCTATAAATGAATGGGTATGGCTGTAACACAATTAAATTTAATTTACAAAAGCAGGCAAAGAATTTGACTGTTTAGGTTAAGAGCATAGATTCTTCTTTAAAGGTGAATTTAAAGGTTGTTACTATTGTTTGGGGGAGAAGCAATCAAATCACTCCCAGAAAGGTAAAGGCCCATGTGAAAAAATAAAAGGAAAGAATATGAAGGAAGAAAAGGTTATAAGATATTACTATTGATTTCCTGTGGCTCCAAAAGTCTTTCAGGAAAATACTAATAAAAGATTTGCTAAAGAGCTATTCATAAGTGCATGGTCTCTTGAGGTGATCAGTTTGAGGATGAAAATGCTTTTTTTTGCTATATAATAGCACTGTAGTATGTATAACTAAAAGTGAAGAACTTTGACTTCAAAATTTAAAATGTAAGAATGCCTCTTCCTCATTGTGTGGCATACTTTAATTGCAAACTTTTCACAACTTAACATTTTTACTACTTATCATAAAGAAAATTTAAAAGTAATTATACTAGTTGTGATTTTCAGAACGTAAATATAAAATAATGAAGTTTAGATGTAATATTTTAATGTTTCTAGTGAGATTTGTGTTTCCCATGATGGAAGCGTTAGCTAAAATGACATTACCAGATGGAGGCATCTTGTCTTCTGTTCCACCAAAAATGGTATTTCTTCCTATGATAAAGTTTAATGTATAAATTAGACACAGTAGGAGATTAACAATAATAATAAAATAAAACGATTATAACATTATACTCTAATAAGAGTTACGTGGATGGCTTTGAGGACATAATTAATTGAAATAAGAATTATTTGAGCAGAAGCACTGCAATACCTCGACAGCATGATAACCAAGAAGGCTACTTGGTGGCTAGTGGGCAGGTAGCATATACAACAAGAATACGCTGGACAAAGAGAAGCTTTACATCTGGGTGGGACTGAGCAAGATGGCTCCAGATTTCATCACTTTGCTCAGAACAGCATGCAATTTAAAATGTGTGAATAATTTGTTTCTGAAATTCTTCATTTAATAGGTTTGGACCATGGTTGACCTCAGGAAACTGAAACTGCAGAAAACAAAACCACCCAAAAGGGGCAGCTACTGTCATCAGTTCCTGAGAGCACATTTTCTCACTATAGTGACTCAGATGATTGCATATTTCCCCCCAAGTGTACAAATAATTTTCTGCTGCTCCAGTGATTCAAGAAATGTCAGATTTTACTAGGCACTTCATGTACATCTGTTTTATGCTGAGTAGAAAACTTACAAATCCCCATCTTTCTCTTTCCAGGGACGGAAGCAGCTGTGAACCCAGCTGTTGGAATTCACCTTCCAACTCAAAACCCTGAACTGTGTCATGTTTCAGGTTTCAACACTTCAGGAGCACCTCCTCCATATGAAGAAATTCTGAAATCAAGCCAACTTTAGCTATGGATCATCAATTGAAAAGATTAGAAATATTCTTAAGAGCAAAACATCAAAATTAGGGACAATTTTTCTCATTTAGTGGGAATTCCCAGAGATCAATTAATATAGCCTTGGAAAGGACAAGTAGACAAACAATGAATGTAGAGGGAAAATTTTGGTCAGGATCATATTTTAGTAGTATATTAGTGGACTCAATGGATAACTGCTGTTACATTTTTTTGCTATACATCTAAGTTAATGTTCCTCCATTAATACTCATAGACAGTAATTGATACGCAGTGATCTCAATTAAGTTTAGGATTCCATTCTAGTACACATCACAGCTTTCTCTGCCTAAATTCTGTTTTAATCTGATCTCTCTCCTAGTATGGAGCCAATAAAAATTGTCATAATTTAACAATGACTCAAACAGATATTCAGACACATCCAGAGCCAGAATCAGGGAAAAACAAAAAGTTGGAATAAATCCTCAAAAACGGTTAAGCTATGAATAATACAAATGATTAATATTGAGTTTTAAAATGGGTGTTATCATATTGACAATCTAGGCAGAGGGAAGAATGTGTGAAGGAAGGTGGCTGAAAATAATGAGAAAGCTAAATCCTAACCTCCAATGGTGGGAAGTCAATGAATAATATCTAAAATTAAAACAAAAATCAAGAAATAATGAAAAGTACATCATTTGGAAATTATATTGCAAATATCTGAAGCAAAACACTCAAAAGTTGAGAATAACTCCCTGAAGAAATCAGCTTTAGAGATAATGTTATGCGGGATGAGGTGGAGCAGAATAATGCTATCTCTGTGTGTGTGTGTGTGTGTGTTTATAATAAGCCTATAGTACTATTTGACTTTTAAAACTAAATGCATGCATTACTTTAATTAAAAAGAAATATAAAATTAAACAAATTTTGACAAAGTGATAGCTTACATTTGAAGACAAACAGGAAATCATGATATATGGAAGAATAAAATGTTAAATGTAAATGTGTTTAAGGTGATTTAATATTTTTATTTATTTTCCAAATTTTTGTTCATATCCTATAAGCTGTGTATGTTAAAATCCATTTCAGAACAGTTTGGGGTTATCATTAACACCTATAAAAGTGTAAGCACATCTGGAAATGGGACTAATGATTCAGCAGCTGGAATTGTCAGAAGTTAGTGCAAGTCCGGGTTGAAGTGACCGGAATTTAGTTTTAAGACAGCTGCATTTATGTGTCAGAGCAAGTCTAAGCAAACTACATGCTTGGCCTCTGGTCGATTGGTTTATTTATCCAGGTGAGGAAGGAAGTGTGGGGACAGGGTTTAAGCAGGTGGATAGGGCTGGTAGCAAAAAGACTTTGCTTTCTTTTTTGACAAAGATCTCTTATTAAGTACCACAGGTTACATTTATTTTTTAAAATATATTTTTATTGATTTGAGATTTGAGAGAGGAAGGAAGAGAGAGAGAGAGAGATAGAAACATCAATGATGAGAGAGAATCATTGATTGGCTGCCTCCTACAAGCCCCCCACTGGTGATCGAGCCCACAACCCGGGCATGTTCCCTTGACTGGAATCGAACCCGGGACCTTTCAGTTCGCAGGCCAACACTCTATTCACTGAGCCAAACCAGCTAGGGCTACATTTTCATTTATTATCTAAGAAATACTGAATGACTATTATATGTTAATTATTGTACAAGGTCTGAATTTTTCCCCCAACATATTTAGTATTTTTTAAAAATATTTTTATTGATTTCAGAGAGAAAGGAAGAGGGAAAGAGAGAGAGAGAAACATGAATAATGAGAGAGAATCATCTATCGGCTGCCTTCTGCATGCCCCACACTGGAGATAGAGGCAAGTACCCTGTCTGGGAATCGAATGGCATGATAGGTTGACGCTCAACCACTGAGCCACGCCAGCTGGGCTTGTATTATTTTTAATGGTACTACAGTTTCCATCACTTGGCTTTTACTTCCAGACAGAGACTTGCAAGTTCTGTAGCCAATGCTCTTTATGGTCCACTAAAAACTACTGCAAACAATACAATAATAACACTAATACAGATTATAGGATTATCATGACGATAAAAGAATTCTGTCATCTCAGCCAACCTTTGCCTGCATTGTAGTTCATCAATAAATTGTTAATATTCTACTTAACCCAGTGTCTCTGATTTTAATTCTGACAGGACTAGATTTTTACCCCTCCCATGTTAAAGAGCATTCCTTTTTTTCCAAATGGGTTTTCTTACTACTAAAGGTGTAGCATTTTCTTTGAACATCCAGCAGAGGGCATGCAAGCCTATCTGTGATTAGCCCATTAGCTAGATTTGATGTAGTGGTTAAATGAAACTATGAAGCTGGATTACTATTGGTGTCAGATTTTTGACAGAACCTAGAAGAATAGATTAATCATGAGCTTCAAATTTTCAAGAAGAATGTAGGGCTTTAGCTCATATTGCTCACAAAGAAACTGAGCACCAGGAGAGATGCCTGTCATCAGAGAGTCTAGTGAATTTGAAATATACTCCCCCTTCTAAGGATGACACTTATGAGTTAAAGGTGCCTGTAAAGGCAGGGTAATTTGTACTTAAATGCTCACATGGTATGTGATCTCTATAGCACTGACCCTATAGGTCTACTCTAGCCTATTTCTTTCTTACCTGACCAAAAGTTCCTATTTAATTTTCAGTTTTGTAGTTCCATTTTTTTTCCTTTGTGTGAGGAGCACAACTGTTATAAAAGACAACTTTAAAATTCAGTATCTTGCACAAGAATGAAATAGAACTGGGATAGGACTGAAAAGCATTCGTATGGACAATGAAATGAAACTCAGCCAGAATATTATACTTAAGGCAGAAAGTGAAATACTTCAGGATTGTATAAGAGAAAATGAGACAATGAACATGTGTTGGCTATGAGACTCCACTTTCAATAGAGAATATTTTTTAAATCAGAACAGAGGAAATAGAATATACATTCCAAATTAATTTTGCTTTGTGATTTAAACAAAATATAATATATATACATTTTTATTAATACTGGATCCTGAAAAATAGTATAGTTATTTTGTTATTTTAATAAATATAGTTCTGAGAAAATGGAATGTAAAATGAAATAGTTTGGTAATAAACAAAATCCTATATAATAAAAGGCTAATATACAAATTGACCGAACAGTGAAACAACCGATCGCTATGACATGCACTGACCACCGGGGGCAGACACTCAATGCAGGAGCTGCCCCCTGGTAGTCAGTGTGCTCCCACAGGGGGAGCGCCACTCAGCCAGAAGCAGGGCTCATGGCTGGTGAGCGCAGCGGTGGTGGCGGGAGCATCTCCCACCTCTGCAGCAGCGCTAAGGATGTCCAAGGACTCCCAGACTGCGAGAGGGTGCAGGCCAGGCTGAGGGACCCCCAGCCTCCCCGAGTGCACGGATGTCATGCACAGGGCCTCTAGTTTATTTCTATTTTTGTATTTAGAAAATAATTGTTTTTTATGCTAAAATTTATGCCAGTCTACACTGACTGACTCATGAAGCAAATAATGAATATCAATCAAGATGTCATATTTTATATGAATAAATTGAAAAATGGTATTGCTCAGAAGCACTGAAATGATCAATGGCTGCAGGTTGAAATTATCAATGAATACAAGTTTCTTAAGTTTATTATCTTGTTTATTGAGTGAGGGTTTTCTCCTTAGAAAATCAGCTTAAAGGATACAATAAGCAAATTAAGAGAATTTCCCTTTCTCTAGCACTTAATTTAATTGTATCTCAATATTTAATAAATAGTCAGGGTTTTTTTCCATCACATATGAAAACTGAAGTCATGTGTCAATTCAAATCATCCTTCCTTGGGTGTCTAAATCTGGATAAATTTGTAATGGTAAAGAGTCTTAGGTTCCACTGACTAATTTCCTTCCAGTTAGAAGCATGAGAGCGATTATTTTATTAAAGAATATTGAGACACAGATAAGGAAGCCTAGGGATTACTTCTAAGCAATCAGAGGACAAGTGCATCTTACCTGATATCATATGAAATAGTTGTCACCTGTGATAAAGTCAACAAAATAGGTGAGTGCTATATGAGGAGAGTAGGACTAATGAATGGAATATCAATATCTTAGGTATAGCAAAAACATTACTGGGGTGCTAAGGTCTTTCTGCAGATGTAAAGATTTTTTTAAAATTTTTTTTATTTTTTTAAAGAGAGTATGTGGTTGTAAGGGATGCTTTGATAAGCTGCTAAAAATAAGAGCCACCTATGGGACACACTCAATAACAATAGATGGTCATTAAAAAGAGTGATTCTGACATGACCCATGTTGATCAATGGTTAGAGCATTGACCTGTGTACCCAAGGATCAAGGGTTCAATTCCCCTGTCAAGGATATGTACCTGGGTTGTGGTTTTTCCTCCCTCCCTCCTAATCAGGGCAAGTGTGGGAAGCAACCTCTCTCTCTCTCTTTCTTTCTTTCTCTCTCTCTCCCCCCTCCCTCTTTGGAAAAAATATCCTCTAGTGAGGATTAACCAACATAAAAATAAATAAATAAATAAATAAATAAATAAAGGAGGAGGAGGAGGAGGAGCAGGAGGAGGAGGAGGAGGAGGAAGAGGAGAGGAGAGGAGAGGAGAGGAGAGGAGAGGAGAGGAGAGGAGAGGAGAGGAGAGGGGAGGGGAAGAGAGGGGAGGGGAGGGGAGGGGAGGGGAGGAGAGGAGAGGAGAGGAGAGGAGAGGAGAGGAGAGGAGAGGAGAGGAGAGGAGAGGAGAGGAGAGGAGAGGAGAGAAAAGAGAAAAGGTGTTTCTGTATAACTGAAGGTCTTTGGTTTTACTGTTTGAGGTACATGTTTGGGACCAGAAGTAAACTGCTTAATGCTTTAGAGGAGAGTTGTTTATAAATACATTTTTTTTACTATAATTTTATTAGCATATGGAGAGGATTTCATTGAGAAGGCAACAAGAACTGGCACCCACTCAGAACAGCCATTACTGGAACATTAACTCCATGAGAT